CCTCCTCGGCCATCCAGCAGCCGGACCGCGACAACATGGAGAGCAGCGACGAGCGGACCATCAGCGGGAACAACAACGCCCAGACTTTCGAGAAGAACGTCTCCGACTCCGAGGCTCAAAACATGGGCCCGCCCCTCGTCAGAGATGCCCCTCCCACCGCGCCATCACCTCCTCCAGACGGCGGCCTGACTGCGTGGCTCCACGTCGCGGGAGGGTTCATGATCTTCTTCAACACCTGGGGGATCATGAACACCTTCGGCGTCTTCCAGACCTACTACGAGTCCGGCGCCTTCATCCAGGCCTCGTCCTCGGCCATCTCCTGGATCGGCTCCGTCCAGGCCTTCATCGTCATGGCCACGGGCATCGTCGCCGGCCCCGTGCACGACAGGGGCTACTTCCGCGCCCTCCTCCTCGCGGGCAGCTTCGCCATCGTCTTCGGGCACATGATGCTCAGCATCAGCAGGGAGTACTGGCAGGTCGTGCTCTCCCAGGGCGTCTGCGTGGGACTCGGCGCCGGCTGCCTCTTCACGCCCACCGTCTCCCTCCTCCCGACCTACTTCAGCAGGAGGCTCGGCCTCGCCATGGGCCTGGCATTGGTGGGCTCCTCCCTCGGCGGCATCATCTACCCCATCGTCATGTACAGGCTGCTGGACAGGCTCGGCTTCGGCTGGAGTGTCCGCGTCGTCGCCTTCATCGCCCTCGGCACCCTCCTCCTCCCCTGCGCCGTCATGCGCATGCGCGTCACCAAGACCGCCCGGCCGCCGCGCGCCTTCATCGACCTCGCGGCGTTCACGGACACCAAGTACGTCCTCTTCACGCTGTCGTGCCTCCTCGCGTTCATGGGCTTCAGCGTCATCCAGTTCTACCTGTCCTTCTTCGCCGAGTCGCGCGGGCTGGCCGGGCGGGACATGTCCTTCTACCTCGTCGCCGTCTTCAACGCCGGCTCGTGCTTCGGCCGCGTGCTGCCCACCGCGCTGTCGGACTGGGTCGGGCCGTTCAACACCATCGCCCCGGGGACCGTCATCTTCGGGGTGGTCATGTTCTGCATGCTGGCCGTCGAGGACGAGGCCGGGGTCGTGGTCCTGGCTGTCCTGGGCGGGTTCTTCAGCGGTGTGCTGATTGCGCTGCCGCCCGTCTGCTATGCTCGGTTGACGGAGAACAAGGCCGTGATTGGGACTCGTATCGGGATGGGTTTCAGTGTCATTGCGTTTGGGATGCTTGCTGGTGGTCCGGGTGCTGGGTCGATCCTGGGCAGTCCGGACGACCAGCATTGGACGAGCGTTTGGGTGTTTGGGGGCGTGCTGGCCGTGGCTGCTGGGTTCTTCTTCTCGGTATTGGCTGTTTGGCAGTACAGGGCCGGCAAGAAGACGAGCCCGGTTGCTCGAGTGTAGATGAGGCAGATACTTCGGAAGGCATATATGAGCTTTGGCTTGGGAATTGAGAATGGTATGAGGTGGTAAGGGTATAGTAGGAGACTGGGAAGGAGAAATTTGACCGTGAAACCAGTGACAGTAACCGACGTATAGCAGATCAAAATGTTTAATGGGTAGAATAGACTATGGGATTGTACAACAAGAAAATATTGGTGTTGTTCATATGAATATCTTGAGTGTTCATGTCTATATGTAATGAGTAGATATTCATTGATATTCAATAGTTTGGGAAGATATCCATTGACAAGATTAGAGTGATGGATATAGGTAGAATAAGAAAATACAGTACAGTACATGAGATAATGGAATCGCCTTGGATCACGTCCCAGATTCACATGGTGTCAAATACGTGATGCCCCTGATTGTGTTCGAGGCGATGCATCCAGACAACCAGTTTAAGATAACTATCTCCGAACTCGGACCCGAATCTGCCCTTTGCGAAACTACTCACTGTATGTAATCCTCGGCAAGTTGTCATAATAAGGAACTACAATCTTCTTCGGGTCCTTCGTGTCGCCAACCATCGCCTCCGTCCCCGGATGAGTGGGCGACCTGTCCACGATCAGATTCACAGCACTCGGCCCAGCCTGTCCCTGAAGCCGTCGAATCACCTCGGGAATATCCTCGATTCTCTCCAGCTTCGCACTGCCATTCCCCAGCGCCCTCGCGACCTGGTCATACTCGGCCTCCTGGCTCAACGATGAGATGGGCCGGGCGGACTCACCACCGCCGTACACAATGTCCTGGCCGTTCAGGCTCATCCCCCAGGCGTAGTTATTCACCACGACCGTCAGGATGTCGAGGCCGTGCCGCTTGTACGTGTCCAGCTCCATGAGGTGGAATCCGGCAGACCCGTCCCCCTGGATGCTGACCACCTTGCGGTCGGGAGATGCGATGGCTGCGCCCAGGGCGTGTCCGAAGCCGTTACCGAGGAATCCAAGGTTCCCAGTTGCCTTTACGACTGCGCTGGGAGAGCATGCGGCCAGTGTGTCCGAGCCCCAGAGCCCGGCCTCGCCGCCGTCCAAGACGACAATGCATCCGGGCTCAACGCTGGAGAAGACACTCTTCAAGGCGTGGTACGGGTGAAGACGGTTGGAAGGCTGGAGCGCCGGAGCTTCTTCAAAGGGAGACGGTGTGTGCCGAAGGGAGAGGACATCTTTGACCCATTCCTCGTCGACTTGGCTTGGAGTTGCGAGTTCCTGGCTGATGGAGTTCATGGCGGCGAGGAACTGCCCGCAGTCACTGACGGCTCCCAGAGCCACAGGCAGCACGCGGCCGATCTCCCCGCCGTCTATATCCACGTGGATGAGCTTGCAGTCTGGGGGTATGATCCCCCCGGCCCTCCCTCCGAGGAACATCCCAGTTCTGGCCCCGAGAAGGAGGACGAGGTCAGGGCGTTTCTTGCCTAGTATTTGGAGGTAGGCGAGCTTTTCGGCCGGTCCACCGGAAAAGGGGGAGTCGGTAGGGATGGTTGATACGCTGTATTTAAGCGTATCGAATACAGGGACGTGATACGCTTTAGAGAACTTTGCCAGCCCGGCTCTGGCCTGTGAAGTTCCGCTTAGCTCGTGCCTACGCTTGAATGATAGAAGGTGAGAGAGTAGGTACTTACACTAACAGAAGTTGCTCCAGATCCTGCAATAACAACTGGGCGAGATGCCGATTCAAGGATCTTCCTTGCTTCCTTGACTGCCTCTGTGTGGACTCCCGGCCCATATGCGAGGGGGGAATATATAGACCCCCAGGAGATGAGCGGCTTGTGGACAGGAGAGAAGAGAATATCGATTGGGAAATCGAGGAGAACCGGGCCTTTCAATCAAGATTCATCATCAGCCTGATCTATCCATCTGGTGCGTTCAATAAAGCATTACCTGGTGGGCCAGATAGAGCTGTCCGGATAGCATGTGAAACCAGCCTCGGGGTCTCTTCCGCATTCGTCACCCGGAGAGCGAGTTTTGTCAAAGGCTTTGCGGCAACAACCTGGTCGATGATGCCCTGGAGGCAATTGGTCTCGATGTCCCGCAAGGGAGGAGACGAGGTGATGCAGAGGATCGGGGAGCGATCGGCCAATGCCGTCGCCAGCCCCGGGAGACCGTTTCCGAAGCTGCTCTTTCCGGTCATCATCTGGCCAATACTGGATAAAATGAAAAGACCAGCTGGATATTGTTCTCACCCGCTGTTGGCGGTCACGAAACAGACGCCGATCTTGCTGCTGAACTTGGCATATGCCTCGGCGGCCTGGACGGCGACTGTCTCGTGGCGCGTGTCGACGAGCCGGATCTTGGCCAGCTCGCAGCCCACGAGGAATGCGTCCAGGTGGCCTCCGTGGAGACCGAAGGCTACCTCTACTCCCGCCTGACTGAGGCTCTGGGCGAGGAGATCTCCGCCGGACAGCTCGCGGGAGCTTGGCTGTTTGAGGGAGAAGCTGGCCATGGTTGGCGTCGTGCCTTTCTTATTATTGAGGGAGAGTAACTTGACTAGAGGGGATTATGGAGCAGAAGTGTGAATGACGAAGAATGTATTCAAGAAGATCATATCTATGGTCTATTGATTATCTTTGATGGTAGTATCAACTGCGTATTAATACTCGCCATGCATATCCGTCCCTCCAGCAGCAACCCCGCAGATGCGAGCTTCCCCTCACCTCGTGGTCTTGGATGTTGCAGTATGTTGCATCATGATTCGACACAGTCAATTTCGTGTGGAACAAGCTGACTTTATGCCGAGGCCTCTGGCTGCGGCGGGCATGAACCATCCCAAGCATGCTGGCGAAGGACCTTGGTCTGCTGCTGAGTAAATATATCGGACTCGACATACACCCCGAAAGACCTTCGGTAATGTTTTAATCCCGTGTAAGTAGATGATGAGTTGGATATTGGTATCCAATGGTATATTAGCCGGATGTCGATTAATTTCTGCACTTGGTGGGGATTTCATCAAGATCGTCAAGAAGACATTCATGTAGGAGTCTTCAGCTCGCCTCTACCCGACTAACATAACAAGGATACCCATCCACAGCATGCAAACCCCCGTAATCGCGCTGATACGCCCGATCTCCATGCAACGTCCGTATCGGCGCCCTAAACAGATTCCTCCTGGCGCTGTGCTTCAGGTTGCGGCTGGGAGTTACGAGGAAGCCTTGTCCCAAGATGAACATCTCTAGCCGGGAAGAGTTCACATATAAAAGAACCAGCAATTGCCTGTTACTTCATCTCCCCACTCCGGAATATAGTGTATATATTATATAGGGCGACCAGCCGGGCACATCATACACAGGAGTCTTCTCCATAGGAGAGACATGTCATGAATAACCGCAAGACTAGGTGTAATCTCGAAATCACAGTCGACATCAGAGCAGCCCAGTAGTATCTGGTAAACGTCTTTAACACCGACCGAAGGAGGGAGTGGAAGAGGGTAAAGTAACTCATCTTAAGCATTAAGACAGAAGACCACAACACAGAAATATACAATGAATATAAATAGTCTCTATCTCATGTGCCCCAACCATGGACGCCACCAGTAGGGAGAGCACTAGAATAGCTATCAAACACAATTCAAGTAACCAAATCAAAGCCTCGACCGCGTCTTCTCCTCTCCAAGATCATAAAGCTCTCCAACCCTCCAACTCACATTATCACGACTCCTTCCCCGCCCCGGCTTCCAGCGCCATCTCGCCTCAACCTGCTGCCCATCCTCAACCACCCGTCGAATCCACCCCCCAACCATAGTCAGCATCTTGAACCTGTGTCCCGAGTCCCCCGACGCCACGATAAGCCCCTCTGTCCCCGGGACGCAGGCAATCAGATAGTCCGAGTCGTCCGTATCGGCCACCCAGCACATCTTCTTATGCACAAGGGGCGGCTCAGCCAACGCCCGCAGCGTCTCCCTCAGTATCCTCCTCGAGGCCTCCTCATCGTGCGGCGGGATGTAGGGCGAACTCCCCGGGGGGAGGGACACCCCCTCCATGTTGAAATTCGTGATCCCAGCCCCCGACGGGCACAGATTCAGCAGGTTCGTCCTCGGATCAGGCTCGTCCTCGGATCAGGCTCGAAGAAGAACCCAACGTCACGGGCATAAGTCTTCCTGGTATCCTCCCTGCTGTTTATTGGCGCAATCTTACCAGCACACGCGGGATGCTTCGATATGGAGGACAGGGACTTTGCGAGAGTCCGCTTCGCCTTGTCTAGTGCGGCGAGGGAGTTGCAGAGCGGGCAGCCGACCTGGTGGTAGTAAGGGGCAAACAGCGGGTTGTTGGTCCATTCATCGATAGCTTCCTGCAATGAGTGTGAGTAGTCAGGAATCGACAAGCAGATTAGATCAGGTTCGTACAAGAGCCAGCTGGGCGTACCGCGGATCCTCGTACTCGGCGCGGATGATCTTGTTCACATCATTGCCGGGAGACTCCTCGGCTGGGATGAAGGAGGATCTCTCCAGGACGGAGACGCTCGTGTACCCTGATTTAGCAAGGTGGTAGGCGGTTGAGAGACCGAATGTACCACCTCCCACGATGAGGATCTGCTTGTTCTTGTCGTTCATGGCGTATTTGGGGCAGGCGGCAGGGTGTTTCTAAGACAATTATCAAATAACAAGCAATTGGAAATCTAGGATCTCAGTCTCGCAGAGCTTATGAAAGGGCTTCAGACTTCGGCTAGCAGCGTCATCTGTCTCGTCGGGTGGAGAAGCCATATCCGGGCACCGGCATCGAAGATGGCGACAGCATCGATTTCATAGCAAGCATTCAATAGAGCTGCCATGCCGAATGAAAGCCAAGGCAAAGCAGGCTGTAGAGGAGAGAATGAGACCCCAAAGGACAAAAATCAAGACAATCGTGTGAGGCCGCAAGCAGCCGAGTCAATCTCATTTTCAGCTGCCAAAACCCAGTAACTACATTCCCTTGCACCGTACAATAAATACCTATCCAGCAATATCCATCCCGCCCAATGGTTGTCCCTTTTATCCTTTTGTCCTTTTTTCCCTGTTGTGAATCTAAGCCGTATTTCTAAGTGTGTCGTTACCTTCATATCGTCAAACGCCATGAGTTGGCAAACCGGTGTGCCCATCCAAGACGTCCAGGTATACCGGGACATCAACCGGTCGGCTGAAAGAAACCCAACCTGTTCGCCGTCTTCCTTGGATGAATAAATGCAGTCTCTCCGTCTCATGAGAACCTACCGCCGAGGCTCATCATCATCGAGTGTCGTAGCTTCCACAGTGAGTCTCACGTCCCCTAGATCTACCCCAGGTCCATGTCGGCCTTCCCTCCAAGTACCATGGTCAAGCGATTCTCAAACCTACCTCCAGTGTCGTAAAATCCAAGCCATTACAAGATGGCATTACATTGTGAAAACATGAAAAGCCAAAACATTATCCGATGAAAATTCTCATACCTATTTTCATGGCTCCGCGATAAGCTGGCCTATACCCCCGTCTCAGGGTGTTTTGTGCCAATATTTACCACGCCCGTTAAAAATCCCACGTTGGACAGTGATTCTTTGTTAGCATATCCAACCGTGAAATCTGCCCTGGCATTCCGACTAAACGTGAACAATACAAAATATTGCAATATCGATGTCGTATCATACGACATGAGATTAGCTCACGATGCATCATATTGAGTCGTAGCTTCTAAACAATGACAGTGCAACGTCGTTGCCGAGCTCAGTCGCCAGGGTCAGCGGTGTCTTCCCTTGATTATCCTTGAACTGGAGAGTCTCAGGTGCGTTGATTATGCACAACAGCAGGAGTGCGCGGTCAGGATGCCTGCAAGCATGATGCAGAGGAGTGTAGCCTTGCAACTCGTCGGTGTCACGCAGCGTCAAATCGGCACCATGTTCCACCAGGACCTCAGCCACTTCAACCTCTCCTCGTTTCACAGCTACATGGATTGGCCCACCCTCCTCTGTGACAAAGTTGATGTGCTCCTTCAGCAGGGGGAGGGTCTCCAACGCCTCGCTCAGGAATTCCCAGCTCGCATGCTCTGCTGCTACGTGTAGCACGTTTCGCGGGGGAAGGCCAGGGCGCAGGTAGAGCGAACCCCAATTAACTTCATCTCTGCCTAGCTGGCCAAACGATTCGACAAGAAACTCGAGAGCCATCGTGTCGTCTTTGCTTGCTACATGAATCAAGGCATTGTACCCGTCGCGACCAAGGTCTAGCCTAGCACCATGACGGATCAACAGGGACGCGGCCGCGAACTGGAAAGTTTTCAGGGTTTCGGCCAGCAGCGACTCTCCATCATCTCTTGCAGGATTGACGCGCATACCTCGGTCAATAAATAATTGAAGCAGACTCTCGACGGGAAGCCCGTCTACTTTTAGATCGAGTCTCATAATAGTTCGCAAGATAACCATTTGGTGGCGATTGAGCTGATCCACCGACGTGTTTACGAGGAGAGATTTGAGGGGTTCCTGAGGTCCCTCGGCATAGTGCAAAATCGCTGCCTCGAGAACTGTGACCCCAGAGTAACGCCGCTCGCCCAGTTCGAGGTCACCTCCCTTGGAACAGACATATTTCAAGATCGGCAAATCTTCGTCCACGCAGCACTCAATCAGCAACCTCTGGCATGCTGGTGTGCTCCAAAACAATCGTTTCATGAGATTGGAACTGTTGCGCAATGTCTTGATGATAATTCGACGAAGGCGCTTCACGTTCCAGAACCTGTCGAGCAATTTAGTCAAGGGTAGAATCGCATCCTTGTTACCTGCTCTTTCCGCCCCTAACTCTTCCAAACACATGATACCTGGCTGGCCAGTCTTCCTTTCGTAGTCTGCCATGATGCCCTTTGTCAAAACGCACTGTAGCGCTGCTTCAATTGACAACCGGGTCATTCTATGCTCCTTCACATGTGTCTTGATGTTTTTCGTCAACACGTTCCTGCAGAAACGGGGCCAGAAGCCTTCACCCCTGTCATCGCACTGCCGGAGCATTTCGGGGTCAAGGAGTCGGTTATACGCGCTCATAGACAGTTCACGCCTGCAAGATGGGTGCGAGGATCGCTTGGGTTCGTCATCCTCCATCTCGCTCAGCAGAACCGTATTCTGGAATATGGTCTCGGCAGCAGTGAGGCCGGAATATGTCATGTACGGGATATCAGGGCAGAGCTCAATAAGCTGCTCAGTGAACTCCAGAGTAGCAGACATGTTTATCCAATGGAGTGGTGTCCAGCCATTTTCATCCAGCTCAGAAAAGTCAGCGCCGAGGTCGCGCAGACTGCGAAGCAAGCTAGTATCTCCCCAAGGTACGACCAGGTGGATGAGAGGTCTTTCGACAGATGAAAGCGACAGTCTGTTACCAAAGTACCTGAGAAGCACCTTGGCGGCTTTAGGCTCGGTGTCTCTCTGGATGAAGGGCTTGTCAGCCAGGAAGTCAGTGCTAAGCAACGCTTCAACGAGCGGGGTACGTCGAGCAAGCGTTTCCTTATTCATATTGATGTCTTTGGACGGGTCATTGAGACACAACCATTCGAGGAGTCCGGTTTCATTCGTTGCTGCAGCCAGGTGCCAAATAGTCCGGCCATCAGGGTCAGACTGTGTAGTAGTGGCGCCATGCGTCAGAACAAGCCTCTCCATCATGGCAACACTCTCGACAACCATGAGAGGAGTTTTACCATCTTCGTCCAAAGCCCCCAAGCTGGCCCCCGCCTCGACCAAGATGTCTACAGCTTCAAAGAAATCATCCGTAACGGCGATGTGCAGAAGTGTGTTCTGGCGCTGATATTTGTTGGTTGGCAGACTTGTATGAAACCGAGGATCCAACACACATCGGCGGAGAGACCACGCGTCATCACCGACGATAGCGGCAACAGCCAGGTGGTTTAGCTCTTCATCCGGGATACCCAGTTTCCCGTCGGCTGATACGGGGTTGAGGTTGAGTTGGAGGCGAGACATGGCCTCGCTGATGGCAGCACCCAAGCCTTGAGTTTCAATGCTTGCCTCAGCGAGGACGCATTGATCAAAGAGAATGGTCAGCAGTCGCGATACGAGATCTCTCATATGGGTTTCTTCTTCATCTAGTTTGAGATCTTCGATAAGGCTAGTCAGGCCCTGGTTGAACACAGGCCCAGACTGAATGATGCGTTGCAGGACCGAATCGTCTCCGGTCTTCAGCGAAACCCAGAATGCCATACCAGACACCGAAAGAGGCTCGTCTTCCGTATTTTCTAGCCCGCTGCCATTGCTGCCATTGCTGAAATCAGCTCCGGCATCCAAGAGCCTCCTGATGGTGGGCGAACGGCTAGGGCTAGCAAAGTGACGACCAGACGGGGGGTGCCAAGGCTTGCCGGCCATGTGGTTGACGAGAATATCGGGTCCAACCAAGGCGCACCACAAGGGCGTCCCGAGAGCGCCTCTCTCATTGATATCGGCACCCGAGGATATCAGCCGATCGCATAAGCTGGGCAATGCAAAGGTTGCAGCAATGTGCAAGGGACCAATTTCCCCCCTGCACAGAGCGTCGGTCAGGTCAATCATAGGATACTGGGAAGGTATGTGCCAGCCAAACTCGTCGGGCCACATTTCTCGGGCGAAATGCAAAATCCAATTTATGAAGCCGAAATTCGGGCTTGGGGCAAACAACGAGACGACTTTGTCCTTGACAGCAGGCCAGAAGTGCTCAGCATGGAGAGGCCATTCGATGGCGGCATGAGGGAGCCCCTGATAGGTTTTATCCATGAGCTCGGCTACGAACCTTTCATGGTAATATTCTCCCGGCTCGTAAGATTTGAGGCTCAGAAATGGGGACAACCATAGAGAAACGTCGTCTGCAGATACGGGCGCATCGCCTTGTCTCTGCGTCAAATCAACAGAGCGTTGTGAGCTGCGCAGGACGATGAGGTCCTGGGTCTGGATTCGGAACCCGTCCGGGGGGTCTGAGCGAAAGAACGACAGGCGCAACAGCACATCTTGAGGCGAGGTGGCCGCGTCCATGGAGAAAGAAATGGCAGCGCCGACCCAGGCTAGCTTGATAATGAGAGCCCCATCGTTGCTTGCAACTGCGGTGCCTATGTCGGCTGCGAGAAAGTTGATGGCAGCCTCGCAGGTCTGCAGAATTGGGGGTGGAACTTCTTCAAGTCTACATCTATCGCCTCTGGCGTGAGCAGTCTTACCGAGTTCCACGCGGTGGGCGAAAAATAGACTCCCATGGAGCCTGGTCAGCTCATCGTGAAGAGAAGATAGTATGATCTGGAGGTGATGCTGCATCCATATGTCCCGGGATAGGTTCTCCTCAGCCCACAGGACGATGCTAGATACTGATTGGCGAAGTGAGTGGACATACGTAGCCATGTCATCGTACTGGTGCTGGATTTGGTCCATTGTCGAGATTAGAGTGGCCAAAGTGTAGGGTAGTCCAGCACAGAGACCAAGGAGGTCTTGCGCAACTGAGAGGCTCTTCTCTTGACCCAAACTGATCAAGCAAGTGGGCGGAGGATAGGTGAAATGACTGAGAGGCAGCACAGAGTCGTGCTCAGTCCATGTGGTGGTGGTTCAGTCGTACAATTGCCGGATCGTCTCCCACCGGCCTCCCGGCACTCTCAGCGCAGATCGTGGGGGCAAGGCGGGTAGCTGCGTGCCTTGATTGACCTTGGCTGTGGGTGGGACCGTGTCGCCGGTTACATGTGTGGATTGAGAAGCGAAGAAGAGAGCGGAAATGTTGGTCGCAGATGAAGCCAAGTAGAGATGACGGTGAAGAGGTCAGAGAGTGAGAGAGCTTTGCGTTGCGCGATGGCATTTGCTGCTGGAGCGGACCTGCCTTTTGTTCGCCTCACCCCGTGCCAAAAGCAAAGCTGCCTGAAGGTGGGAGGCGGCAGCAGCTGTAGTGGCACTGGCCCAGGCCAAGCACAACCCACAGGCAGCCCGCAGCCAACTCGCAGGTTAGTACCGTGTACAGGGCTCAAGCAGAGGCCCGCTCGCTATTGGAGGTACCGGGTGCAGCTCAGTTGTGATGACTAAGCAGCGACGCCCGAGCTCCGACCATCGCCATTGGCTTCATCCCATTCCCCCACCTCACTGCGTCTTTCATTTGTCGTCAGCTCTTCATGCCACGGTCATCTCCATGTCTGTGCAAAGCTTGATAGGTTGCAACCTGAGCCAGTGCTACCACATAATATGCAGCATCAGCCCACTGTGACCCATACTCATGCAATATTTGTTGCACTTCTCCCAGGCTCGCTCTCCTCAGTCCAGCCTAACTCCTCACCCCGCGACCATTCTTGCGTCTGTCTGTCTTGCTTCCAGGGCCATTCCATATGCGCCATTGCTATTCAATAATCGTCAGGAACACGGCACACAGAAAGTACTGCCCACATACCCGCTACTTCGCAAATGCCTTAACCCGAGATGAGGCCCTTGCCTATGGGCGAGCAACCAACCCTACCTACCAAGGGCTGCATATGCTCCAGCAGGTTCTTTTCTGCCCACCATCTGTCTCACATCTGTAATCATGCAGCTGGTTCCAAGAACCTTGCGCTCCTGCAAAGCCCAACTTGCCTCGCAGGATATCATGGCCGATTGGCGCGTATACAGGGTTATGCATCCATAGATCGGGAAGCAGGCCCGTAGATCGTTTCGTTGCTGGGGTCAGAGTCTTACCTTGATACTCATGGCGGTTGAGGTTGTATTACAGCCTAACTCTTACGGAAAATCACCTCCAGCTCCAAGCACGATGCTGTTGTCATCGGCTCCAGCGACTTCTCCTTCAACCCAAACCCCCTCTGCCTGGGGCTATTGATGGACTTCCTCCATCCCATTCAACATCTCGACGTACGTTGCGACAAGCTCATACTCCACATCTCTCCGCCATGCCCAAATAAGACGTTCCTTTTTAGCCGCCATCCTGGGATCCTCGGCCTTCTGGCAGGTCTCTACGATGCAGGCAAGTCGCGGCTCGAGCTCTATTAGCCACTTTACCCGGCTATTTTCAAAAACACCAGCCCGGGTCAAACGTATAAATTGCTTCCGTTTTCCCAGTCGAAGTCATGTTCTGGTCCAAAGGAGCTCTATACCTGCTTCTGCCCCTCGATCTGAAGTTGCAATAACCCAAGATGCAGTTTCGGCCTCTCGTTCTCGCCGCCCTCCTGGCTCCCGCCTCGGCCCAGCTCCATCAATGGGCCCAGAGAGCTGGCCTCAAATACTTTGGCTCGGCCACTGATTCGCCCGGCCAGCGAGAACGCGCCGGTCTGGAGCACGTCTACCCCCAGTACGATGCCATCCTTGCGAACCCGGACGAGTTTGGCCAAACAACCCCCACCAATGGGCAAAAGGTACACAAGCTCCAGCCTTTCCTACTCCCCAATTGACAAACTCAATTGAAGTACTCTGGGTTACTAACAAAATGCCAGTGGCTCTTCTCAGAACCCGAGCAGGGCGTCTTCAACTGGACCGAGGGCGAGATCGTCTCTAGCCTCGCGCGCGAGCAGAACAAGATCCTGCGCTGCCACGCCCTAGTCTGGCACAGCCAACTGGCCCCCTGGGTAGAAGCCCAAGAATGGACGGCCGAAGAGCTCACCGAGATCATCACCGCCCACGTCACCAACGTAGCGTCCCACTGGAAGGGGAGGTGCTACGCATGGGACGTCGTCAACGAGGCCCTCGAGGAGGACGGGAGCTGGCGCCAGTCGCTCTTCTACCGCGTCCTGGGCGAGGACTACATCAAGCTTGCGTTCCGGCTCGCCGCCGAGGCGGATCCCGAGGCGAAGCTGTACTACAACGACTACAACATCGAGAGGCCCGGGGCAAAGGTGGACGCTGTGCTGCGGCTCGTGACGATGCTGCAGGATGAGGGGATCAAGATTGACGGGGTGGGCATGCAGGCTCACTTCACGGCCGGGGAGGCGCCCAGTCTCGACCAGCAGATTGACGTGATCCAATCTTACGAGGCCTTGGGCGTTGAGGTTGCCTTGACGGAGCTGGACGTGAGACTGGACAAGCTTCCTCCCACGGAGGAGCTGCTAGCGTTGCAGAAGGAGGACTACAAGAATGTAAGTCTCTACAGCCTCCCATCCAGACGGTAATAAGTTGTTTCAAGATGGCTAACCCGACCTCCCAGTCTGTCGGTGCATGTGCTCAGGTCCCTGCTTGCATTGGCATCACGCTCTGGGATTTCTACGACCCGTTCAGCTGGGTTCCGTACACCTTCGAGGGCGAAGGCGCAGCCCTTCTCTGGTTTGAGGATTTCTCCCACCATCCCGCTTACGCCGGCGTCGTTGCTGCGCTCAAGAACGCCACCGGGCTATGCAGCAAGTAAAGTGGATTATCTAAGGTAGACATGCATTCGAGGAGACCAAATCCCAAGGGGCAAAGCGCTATCCTTGAACCCTATGGTCAGTAACAGAAGTTCACATCAAGTTTGGGAGCCAAGTGCTGTTTCTTCTTATCATAGAATGGTTTATATTCACCATAAATCAAGCGACGCAAAGGTCAATCGCTATATCAATCGCTCTACCCAACTCCAGTGATGCCCAATGGTTCCCTATATACCAATCCTCCTGAACCAACTCCGCTTAAAAATAAAAACAGTACAAATGAAAAAGTTCATGCAATGATATTCTAACAGATCTCAGAGACGCCAATCCTCCTTGTCCGACGATTGACGACTGGTGTTAATGGAACTACCTTCTTTCTCAGGGTAGTTCGGTAGGCGTGGGCTTCTTCCCCCCTTCATATACGTCCGAGGCGCTCTCCGAATGCAGCTCGGCGGCGAAAGCCTGCCCCTGGCCGTGCGGCGCCGGGTGAGCGGACATGGGAGGCGGTGTCGGCTGGTTGGGGATATACACGGACGACGGGGGGAAGCCGCCCTGGGTGTGTATCGCCTGGTTGTAGTGAGGGTATAGCTGCCCGTTTGCCTGCTGCTGCCCGTACGGGTCGTACGGCATCTGCGTGGCGACGGAGGGCGTGGATGTCGCGGTGTAGGACGACATGTGCGAGCCGCCGCCCATCTTGGACTCTGGGTAGTTCCCGCCGTACTGCTCATATGAGCCTGTAGCCGGGGCGTTCTGCTGCCTCCGCCTGCGCCAGAAGAAGAAGGCGAGGCCGGCGATGAGGAGGAACCCGAGCACGGCACCTATAGCGATGCCGACCTTGGCACCAGTGGGCAGCCCGCTGTTCGAGCCACGCTGCTCCGCGGTGAGGAAGGGCTCCGCCTGCTCCCTCTTGTCGTTCAGCTTGGCCGCGAAGATCTTGCCGTCCGGGCACCCGGACCCCGTCTCGCACGGGTTGACGGAGCAGCAGCCCATGAACGGGTTTGGCTTGGCCTCGGCGCAGGTCCACCACTGCACCTCGGGGGCGTCGCTGACGCAGAGCTGCGGCTTGAGGGAGTTGAAGGAGTACTTGTCGAAGGAGGTGTACTTGAGGTTGTCGTCGGGGCAGGCGCCCGTCGCCGTCTTGCACGGGTCGACGGAGCAGCAGCCGACGAACTGGGTGGGCTTGTCGTAGCAGACGTAGAAGGATCCTCCCTTGGGGCAGGTGGCGCCCAGTGACTTTGCGACCTCGTCGGACATGATTGAATAGGATGGTCCGTTTCGTATTATGAAGATGTTATAGGATTAAGGAATTAGTGAATTATCGACGCTGTTAGCCTCTCTGGTCGGTCCTCCTGAGTGAAAGTGTCTTGATACAAACACAAGACTCGACAAGACTGGATTACGTAGAGGCTGGAAGCGTGTAGCGAGCGAAAGGAAGAGAAAAGCAAGGTAAGGGGGAGAAGGGAAGAAAGATGGGATGATTAAGAAAGGCGGGAGGCGACCTTAATTGAACAGCCAGCAGAAAAAGGCCAGGGGATCGGGAAGGACGTAAGAACACAGAATCCCGCCTGGCTGGGTACGCAGGCCCAGACTTGGCGGACCGAATAAGAATATCATTACTGTGTCTATCACGTCTTGGAGTAATACGGCGACCATCACCACCATGTGCAGGCGGCGGGCCCGGACCAAGCCGGACTAGGACCGTGTTAAAAGGCAAAAGGTGGAGAAAGAGCCTGATCAGCAAGAGAGACAAGGGGAAAAGGGCCTGGGGATTGATCCATCTTGATTCCATGCCCCATCTGCAGGGCTATGTTCTGGTGCTGTGCAGTGCAAGTGCTTACCGGCCTCTAGGTGGGGGCTAATTAGCTCGGAAAAGCCTCCCTGTATTGCCATGCAGGGCTAAAATAAGGATGATAGAGTTGGTGTTGTCAGAACGAACCTACAAAGGCTACATTGCCGCCAGCCTTGTGCCGATGGATGCAACTTTGTTGGAGGTGCATCGGAGTCGGCTGGGTCATACAGTAGAGGCCATAACGATGTCAGTCGGTACAGCATGATACGGCACCTCATCCAAGACACAAACGGAGGATTTTGATCACTCTGTGTCTATTTGTACAGTGACAGGGTGCGGACTCTGCGGAGTGGCAGGGTTCACAAGATCGTCAGCCAACATGTCCTCGCATCCGTCCCATTTCAGACGTAATCTGCTTGGTAATTCTGGGTGCTGGAGATGAGCATCAATGCTGGGACTGAACTCAAGGCCAAAACCCCAATTTGATGTAGACATTCCGACCATCAAAGAGCATTTAGGGCAGGTGTTCGTCTCAGTTGCAGTGCAGGATCACCACATTTCTGTTATAGGGCTGATGGCATGAAACACGGAGCCAAATGTCAAAATGCCACAATTCACCTCGTTCCACATGGACCATCTAAGATCGTCGGAGGGCACGGGAGGATGGCTTACTGGGAACCAGTGGCACATTCTTGGGCCTGCTTGGTTCTTGGAGGATCGTTGCCGTGCCACATGGTGGTGAACACTTGATGCCTCTGTCTTCTTGCCATGTCAAGATGTATCCCGGCACCGGGATGTATTAAAAAATAGAGATTAAGATGAGGCGTCGATCCTGCGCGAGGCCCTTGAAGCTCTCGATACGCTTGGGTGAATTGGGTTGGACGAGCCGAGGACGGACCATGATAATGATCCATGCAGGCTTCAGCATCGAGGCCGGGCCTCCTGGAAGCACTGGAGAAGGCCTGGGAGAGGGCCAAGGTCTTCTGAAGGCCCTGGTGGAGGCTTGTGCTGGTGGTGGGGCTCCTGTATTTTTAGAACTGGACACGAGGTGCCTGTAATCTACTAGGCCGCTGTCAGCCAACCTCTTGGAAGGCTCTTCTTGGAGGTGCACTGCCATTCTGTCCTTCCCAAAGCCCTTTGGTACAGCCAGACCAGGAAACTAATGAGGAACAGGCAAGGTGCGAGAGGATGGCGAAAGATAACATCCATTGGCTTTGTGGTTGATTTACGGATCGGCTGTTCATCCGTACGCCATGACATCACGACTGGCCACCAGCCACCACAATCGAGGCTGCAGTGGCGCATCGGCGGCGACCAAGCCAATCTATCCAGATGCATCTGTCTTTTCCCACACCCGCTATCGAGTCTATTACTACTTGACGAATGAGGCCTGGTATTGGGTCTCTTCCAGCTCCCCTACACTACGGACGCACGTCATCTCGACCTGTTGGTTGGTTGGAGATGGATTGGTGAGATCCACTGCAGAATCCCGACAGTGATACCTTCGGACAGTGATTACTGCCTCTTCGCAGGTAACCAGCAGCCAACATGGCCCGTAAGCCAGGCCAAGTGCCAGAGCTGAACATAGCAAGTCAGCCCAAGCCGATCTCACCGTATTGCCTCTGACTGTTGCTCTGGGCGTTTTATTATTAATCCAATTCCGCCTGACAGCTGGATTGGCAGAGGCAGAGGGCATTGGCTGGCCCTCGTGCTGCTGTTTCACATCCCGACAAACCTCCCATCAACCCAAATAATCGTACGAAAATGGGCAAACTCGGGCCCTTTGCATGCACGAGATGTATCCCGACAGTCCTGCTGCTGCCTCATTGAGAGGCGCCAGGTCATCAGGGGAGGCTTTGAGTGGTGGGGGACCGTCGATGGAACTAGCGGTCTGATCATCGCCGCCGGTCTGGTTTTTGGTCTGGTCCGGGGCGGTGGTTGGTGGTATTTTCACATGTCACCCCAAGATGAAAACGTCTCGATGAAATTTCTGTCCCAGCTCTGACTCGCTGTCATATCTTCGCATCTTTGTGTATTCTGTCAATTGGCATTGCGCTCAGCGTAGATTCATTTTTCTGCTTTCCTTTCTTCCTTCCAGCACCTGTGTGTTATTGCTCGTTGTGCGGCGGTTCTCCCCTAGCCGGACAGTCCATCATTTTTGTACCCGTAAATGGTTGCGTCATAAAGGAGGTTTGCGATGGGCGCCTCAGCAGACGACGCGAAAGTCAATCGACAAGAACAACCACAGCAGGGAGAGCACAAGGAGCATTCAGACCATCGCAAGGCCCAATCGGCCACCAGCCTGGCCGAGAGTGCTGTCAATTTCTCTCTCCAGGCCCAGAAGCTCTCTCTAGAGCAGCCACAGCAGACAAATGAGAGCCCCTCCAGCCCATCAGAGTCTCGCCTCCAGCATCCATCCGCCGTCGCTACCCAGGCGCACTTCGTGACCCCTCACGACCCCGTCATTATCACTGCTGATGGAAATCGCCTCCCCGGTGTGCCTCTCCAGGAAGCGCACAAGCTGAACTCCCTGCGAGATGAGCTGGAGGGCCAGCCGAAGACCATCGAGATCAAGGAGGCTGACGGCAAGACCACAGCCAACACATCCAGAGACAATGACCAGTCGCAGGATCGGGCGCATGTCATCGAGCTACCCAAGAACCAGAAGGGGGACAAACTTCAGAAACAGGAGAATGGAGGTGATGGCACACTGAATAACGCCAGGCCACCGTCTCACACGAACCCGCTGTTTCCCCCACTACCGCTCTACGGGCCGCCATCCTTTCTACGTGACCTACAATGCGCCTTCTTTCGGTTCTCCTCGTTCTTCCTGAGCCTGGCCTTTCTAGGTGTCATTGTGCTCGGGTCACTATTCACCAGCATACCGCTCCTGTGCAAGAAGCTCTTCTACACGCTGACCTTCCGGGACTTGGACAAGGAACGCCCCTTCTACGCCGAGGAGATCCGCAGAGCAAGGGTCAGGAAGGAAAAGGCCCAGGCCTGGCAGAAGAAGCACTCTCACGGCGCGAGAGAAAGCAAAGCCGACTTCCCCCCTGACGAGTACCCGCCCACCGAAGGCGGCCCAGACCCCATCAAGTGCGACGTGGGCTACTACGCCCGCCGCGTCGGCCTCGACGTCGAGGCCTGCCAGGTCCAGACCGAGGACGGCTTCATCATCGACCTATGGCACGTCTACGACCCGAGCGAGTACACCCCCCTCGCGCCCGCCGAGCGCGCCCACCGCGGCCCAGACGTCTTCCAGAGCTCCTCCCGCACCCGCCTCAGGGACCCCTCCCGCAAGCCCAGGTTCCCCGTCCTCCTCATGCACGGCCTCCTCCAGAGCGCCGGCGCCTACTGCTGCAACGACGACGCCTCCCTCGCCTTCTGGCTCTGCAAGTCGGGCTACGACGTCTGGCTCGGCAACAACCGCTGCGGCTTCACCCCGCGCCACGTCCTCCTCCGCTACGCCGACCCGCGCATGTGGTGCTGGAACATCCGCCAGATGGGTGTCTTCGACCTCCCCGCGCTGGCCTCCCGCGTCCTTTCCGAGACGGGCTTCGCCAAGCTCGGCCTCGTGTGCCACTCCCAGGGGACCACGCAGGCCTTCGTCGCGCTCGCCAAGGAGCAGCGGCCCGAGCTGGGCGCCCGGCTGACGGTGTTCTGCGCGCTCGCGCCCGCCGTGTACGCGGGCCCGCTCATCGGCAAGATGTACTTCAAGTTCATGCGCGTCATATCCCCGGCGCTGTTCAGGCTCATGTTTGGCATCCACGCCTTCATACCCTTCATGATGCGCATGCACGCCGTGCTGGACCCGCGGCTGTACGGGTGGCTGGGCTACAAGGTCTTCTCGTTCCTGTTCGACTGGACGGACACGCGGTGGGACCGCGGGCTGAGGGACCGCATGTTCCAGTTCGCGCCCGTGTACGTCAGCGCCGAGTCGATGAGGTGGTGGCTCGGCAGGGAGTGCTTCGCCCAGCACAAATGCATCCTCGCGACCAAGGAGGTGGTCCGGGAGGAGGAGCGCATGGACGAGGAGTACGAGAGGTCGTCCTCTGGCGATGACACGCCCGGCGGTGCCGGCGGTCGTAGGTCGGCGCCGTCGCCTTCGGGGTCGTCTCCGTCGCAGAGCCCTGAGCGGTCATCGTCGGGGACGGGCGCGTGGTACGACGACCAAGCGCCGCCGTTTGCGTTTTGGGTGTGTGGGCAGGATGACCTGGTGGACGGGCGGCGGTTGCTGCGGCGGTTCGAGAGGGGCCGGGAGCCGTTTGTTCAGGTCGTGCATAGCAAGATCATCCCCGAGTACGAGCATCTGGACGTCATCTGGGCGATGGACGCGCCTGATCAGGTGTTCAAGGAGGTCAGGGAGGTTCTGTGGAAGACGTGCGAGTATCGAGATGTGTGCCGGGTGCCGACGGGGTGCGAGGACCTCTAGCGGATGAAAGGGCACAGCGCATGAGAGCTGAGT